CTGGCCAAATTTATAATACTGGCCAAAGTTAATTTTAACCGGTTAATTAACCGGTTAACAAATATTTTAACCGGTTAATAACCGGTTAAAGATTTTCGGGCTGTGTGATTTAATTACGGCCGAAATTAATTCTATTTTTAACACAAACTTTTTTTGTAATTAAATTTTGTCGTTTCTAAATATGAGATTTATATATCATATCGTTCCATAACCAATGAATTCACCAATTTATAATCGGGAATTAAATTACTTATTATGAATCCACGCACGCAACATATACGTAGAGTATGTCAGTACACTTGTACCCTAAAAATAATAGATTATGATTAAGGTAACTTTCCGGTAATTTTCAATAAGTTACATTTACTAACTAACTTTATCCGCTATTACAAATCGATTAAAAAGGTCGTCGTTACTTATTTCTCAACCTGATCTGAACTTTCCGCATAAAATCGTGTGCAACTTATCGGTCCCGAATTAAAACATCTCCGCTCCTTTATAGTTCTTTCTTTATTTAGAGACATGCATGCATATAAATCAATCTCATTATAATTTGGCCTTTAAAGGTATATTAACTTTCGAATATTTTCTTTATATAATAAGCATAGCATAGCATATGTACTTCTTAAATACTTAGCTTGACATCATTCTATGAAGAAGAAGTAACTTATTCAGGCTGGTAATTTCTTTTTTTTTTTTTTTTTTTTGCATAAATTTAATATCTAACATTGATCTTAAAAATAAATTTATACTACTCTTTATTAAGCTAAGCTAATAGTATTCTTTAAAAAAAAAGTTGATTTTTGAATACTTTTTTTTTAAAAAAAAAATTAAATCATTCTTTCAATGTGCTTGGGAACATACTTTGAAATACCAATCAAATATTTTTAATTGGCAAACCCAATATCCGTGCCGATGAAAATCGAATACAGTTAGTTAATTACCGCGCCTTGCAGCAATTGACTTTTTTATTTTATTTATTTATTAACAGTTATAAATTAAATTATTAATTTTGAATTTTGAAACTTTGAAGGTACATGCTTCTTGACTTTCCTAATTAATTATCTAAATTAAATTACTTTATAAATTAGATAAAAAAAGTCGAACACGAAAGAAGGAGACAAAGATCCAAACAAGTTTGAGAATTTAATTCCATTATGATGAATGTTTAGATAAAATAAAAGAGAGAAAGAAAATATTTTCATAATTCGAGATGAATAATTTAAGGATTTTGTAAAAGTGATATTGGTGAGCCAGATAATCTTTTTATCGTATAGATCGAATCCGATTATTCTTTGCAATTTATTTTTTTATCTTTTTGCATTGTGTGTATTCTACACATTCTGTGCCAGTATTATTTATAGCATTTTTATTATTAATTAGGTTTGTAATTGCAATATTCGATCTTTCACTCGCTTCGTTAACATCATCGTTAACTACCGCCTTTTGTAATTTTTGATCCCGACTAATATGGTACTTTCTTTGCCATTTAGCTTTTTCAGTTTCTGATAGCTTTTTCCATTCTTCCGACACTATTTTGCTAAATTCTGTCATAGTTATATTAAGTGGTCGATCTTTCA